AGCCCTTCCCCCTTGTGGGAGGAGGAAGACAGGGCTTCTGAAAGAACGTGTCTGCTCTTCCGCAAAAAAAAGCAGAGGAACAGATGTGTTCCCTGGACACGGCGGAGTTTTTCCGGAATACCCCGTGGTACAGACATAGTCATAGATTCAGAATAAGAGAGACAAAAAAGAGATGCTGATGGGGGTGGATGTTGAAATAAAGAAGAATTTGGTTTACAGGTATACATTTTCTGTGTACTCAGTTCCAAAGGCACAAAAACTTTCAGAAACCTGTGTCCAAATATAACCTTTCATAAGTGTCATGAATGAGGCGTCTTGAGTCTTGCTTTAGTGGTCGCTTGGTAAATTACAGAATCACAGCATGACTTGACCTGATGTGCAGTTTCCTGAAGAAAATCGTAGGCAATATTTTAAAGTAAGGAAAGGATCATTTGAAAGGGAGGAAAATTAAAATCTTAAATGGATCATGTGTAATTCACTACAATTGAAAGCCTTTCTGAGCTGAACTCAAAGTATTTGGAAATGTAAAGTGTGCCCTTCTTTTAGACATAGCTAAAAGGAAGAAGATGAAAGTAATTTTTCTTCAGAGCTATTTTCATCGAATTACAAAGCATTCTGTTCTCCAGGTGCCAGGAGGTTGACATATTTGTTGAAAATAAAAACAATTAAATTAAGATCAAAATGACTTTTGAAGGTCACAGAAATTTCCATGGTGATTTATGTAAGCAATAACCCATAACAAAAATGAATCTAAAAGCTTAGTGTTTTAACTACTGAAAAAGAGTGTGACACTTGTATACCTGCTGTTATTGAAGAACCAGCTGTAGCTCATCAAGTGACACCTTACTTAAGAACAGATTGGCCCAGACCCTGGGCAGAAGTACACTGACTGGGGAGTGCAAAAGGAACCATACCCGTCTTGCAATTTGGGCCTCATTCAGCTCCTCCAAAAGTCAGTAAATGTCTTTCCTGCAGGCCACTTCTGTGCAGGTGGGGACAATGGCATTCCCTCCTAGCAGCTGTAGAGTTTCTAGATAAAACAGACAGAAGGGAAGTTATGGCCTTGTCCCTCCTACCCACACTGGCTGGACAGAGAAAGAGGAGCATTTTACACCACCCTAAATCATGGTGAAGTAGACAAACTCCTCTGGGCCAACTAGAGAGCCAAACTTTCTTGGATCTCCCTGTGGGGTGGGGTGTTTCAGCACTGACCCCAATGCTTTGGGGTGGAGGGGAATATCAGGCACAATGTAGGTTATATAGAAGAATTGTTAATTTTTTTTAAACTAAGACTTCCGAACTATATGGTTAAGTGCCAGATTATCAGAGGTATTGCAACAGCAGCTTGCTTCTGATGAGATAAGATGTACACCTATTACACCAATTAATACATCAGACATTTCTGGCTGTCCCGCAGACATGACTTCCCAAAGCAAAAACAACATAAGAGGTACAAGAACATACCGTGCTCAGAAGAGCCGAATGCTGATGTGCGTAGTCTGTTTCTACAGACTGGGTCCCAAACAGTCATTGTTAAAAGATGGGGTGGGTTTTTTTAAGCTTAAAATGTATTTTTCAGAACCGTTCGTGTCAGAGAAAAAGTATCTAATCTCCTGAAAGAGTAGTGAATCCCCTGTCTAATACTTCTGGGTACGTCTACACTACAGCGCTAGTTCGAACTAACTTAGTTCGAATTAGTTAATTCGAACTAAGCTAGTTCGAACTAACGCGTCTAGAACTAAAAACTAGTTCGAACTAGCGTTTTGCTAGTTCGAACTAGCAAGTCCACATTGAGTGGACTCTGAACAGGGCTTAAGGATGGCCGGAAGCAGTGCCGGCAGGGCATAAAAGGAGGACTTAGAGCATGGAGATGCTGTCTCAGGCTAGCCGAGGGCTGCGCTTAAAGGGTCCCGACCCCCACCCCGGACACACAGTTCTAAGGGGTGCCCCGCTTGCAAAGAAGTTCTGGCTTGGAGTGCCCTGAGTGCCCACACTGGGCACATCACACCACTCGGCCATCAGCCCGGCTGCACTTGCCGCAGGCTGCCATCTGGGGAGAGGGAGTAATTGGGGGGCTGCAGGAGAGCTTCCACCCCCAGAAGCCCGCAGAGCCAGCCCAGTCCTCCCCATCGGGGGCTCGTACCCCATTCCTCCCTCACCTCCTTCCACTTACCCTTCCCTAGCCCCCCTTCTTATTGATGTACAAAATAAAGATAACGTTTCTTCCAACATTGACTCTGTCTTTATTGAAAAAAAACTGGGGGAGACTGGGAAAAGGAGGTGGGAGAGGGGAAGAGAAAGGCTGGGAGAGGGGAGGGCAACTAACATGATCAGGGGTTGGGAACAGGTCCCAGATGAAGAAAGGCTACAGAGACTGGGACTGTTCAGCTTAGAAAAGAGGAGACGGAGGGGGGACAGGATAGAGGTCTCTAAAAGCAGGGGTTGGGTGGAGAGGGTGCATTCAGAAAAGTTCTTCCTGAGTTCCCATAAAGAAGGACTAGAGGACACCAAAGGAAAGGAATGGGTAGCAGGCTTGAAACTAGTAAGAGAAAGTTGTTCTTGACAAAGCAAATAGTTAACCTGTGGAACTCCTTGCTGCAGGAGGCTGTGAAGGCTACAACTAGAACAGAGTTTAAAGGGAAGTGAGATCAAGTCATGGAGGTTGGGTCCATGGAGTCCTATTAGCCAGAGGGTAGGAGTGGTGTCCCTGCCCAAAGTTTGTGGAAGGCTGGAGAGGGATGGCACGAGACAAATGGCTTGGTCATTGTCTTCGGTCCATCCCCTCCAGGGTCCCTAGGGTTGGCCGCTGTTGGCAGACAGGCTACTGGGCTAGATGGACCTTTGGTCTGACCCAGGACGGCCATTGTAAGCTCAGGGCTCAGGGTCGGGGGTCTCAGTGGACCCCCTTGATTTTCATGCACACCTGGTC